AAGCTTGTTCATGTCAACCGGGTCACCCTCGCGAGCTCCAAGGAAGTACACCCGCCAGTCCTCTTCAGTGAGTTCATGGCTGGGCTTGCCGATCTCCCAGAAGGCAATGCGCTCGATCGCCATGGGGTCGATACAGCCGCTCAGCGGCATCTGGATGATTTGTTGTCCTCCAGGTCGCTGGGTATTGGCCAGATGGATCTCGCGGCGGTAAGCCTCGTACTGATCCATAAACCGACGCTTCTGCACCTTGGTACTCCCATTGAACGTCGGGGCCTTGGGCACTTCCTGGAATCCGTAAATCATCTGGATCCCAGGTTGGTTTGAGCAAACTTGCTGAGCGGGGGCAGCAGCCGACGTAAACGCATGCCATCGCGCACTTGTCCGACGACGCATCTCATCGATCGCATCGGCTTGTTGGACCGACGACGCAGCAGCGGCACGTAGTCCACGCTCATGGCTCTCAGCGGTCGCAATCTGGGCGGCTAGCTGGTCCATCAATTCTTGTTGGCGCTGTCGTTGCTCGGCAAGCTCTGCCATGAGCTGCTGGTTCATGGACATCTGCGCCTGGGCCTGTACTTGCTGTTGCTGGTGAAGTGCCATCAACTGCTCGTACGTCTGCTGGGCCTGAGCACCAACAGCTCCTTGCACCGAGCCGAGTCGCAATGCTTGTTGTTCCCCCGCATGTCGCACTTGTTGACCAAGCTGCTGAACGGCAAGGTCGGGTGGGTACGCGGCATATGGAGTTGCAGCCACCGGGGTGGCATACACGTCCTCCTGGGAGCGAGTCCGATGCAGCACCATGCTGGCGGTTACTCCACGTGGTGACAAGGGCAATGAACTCTCTACGTCCATTGTCACAGGGATGGGTATGGTCGCTAGCGAGACAGGCAGAGCTAGCGGCAGGTAAGGAACGCTTGTGGTGTCGGAACGAGTTAGCGACCGGGTCGGGTATTGATGCACAAATACGCTTGCAACGGCGAGCAGTAGTTGCGGAGTAAACGACCAAAGAATTCTTTGATGTCACTCCACTACTGGAATGAACACTGAGGTCAAAAGGGCAAATCCAAAAGTGAAATTGGGGTTAAGTTCACAGCCTGGACTCTGGATCGAGAGATTCTCACTTGCTAGCTGTATGCCCGACTGCTACGTCTTAGCCCAACCTCATGTATAATCAAAGGGGACTCAGCCAATCAAATGACCCCTTCAGCGGAAAATACAACAACCCGACCACACCGTGTTCGATGAAGCTCCGCATCCGTGGTTGATCGGACAACAACACGTCCGAGTTTCACCTGGCATGTTTCGCCCGACAGTCGGTGATTTTGTGGGCGGGGTGTTTGACCAGTCCTTTCAA